GCAAAATCTAAAATTGATCCACATGTCAAATTGATCCAATCAAGCTCACTTGGATGAATGCCGGATGTAACCTATCGATGGAGAACACATTGTCAAAAAACAACTCAAGTTATATTTAACAAAATATGCAGCCCAAGAACAGTCGCATTAAAATTGTAACATTATTGAACGGAGTCTGGCGTGCATATAACCTCGCCTTGAAAACGCACTCAAAGCACCCGTAGAACCAGCTGTGACCGCAACCTTGCAGTGGATAAAATAGGCTAAGTTACTGCCAGAAGTAAACAGCTAAAGTCCTTTCGTGTTTACCAAGTAAAGTCCTCTGCTCCATGTTGACAGGTGAGAGTTCATAGGAGCAAAAGTTGGTCCCCTCCCAATGGAGCTGCCAGCCTGACTGTGTAACCCCCAAGAAATGGTGAGTGTGTGTACGTGTGTACGTGTGTACGTGTGTGTGTGTGTGTGTGTGTGTCAGACAGAGGGAGAGATAAACAGGGAGAGTTGCTGAAGGGGCTCTTTGACTTTGAGCGCATAAGCCCTTATTTCATGGTGCCATTGTTTGTTTTAAGGACGTCAGGCTTAATACAGTTCCAGGCGATTTCCCAGCATGTCTGTCCGCCCAAGCACCTCCAAGGCGCTCAGTGTGTGTCTGTGAGCGTGCCGGCACGTGCGCGCGCGCCCTTCATTCCTGTTGACTTTATCCTAACCCTTTTCATAGGCAGTGATTTTTACATTTTGTACACTTTCAAGGTTGTTCGTAAGACATAGTGAGTGAATTCAGACTTGGCAGAATTTGCTGGCTTATTTTTCTGCTAAAGAAATTTCGAAATTTCGAGGGTTTTTACACATGGTTAAGACTAATTATGATGTTTAGATATATATCTGTGGTTTTAATGAGTTTGACTGCAGCCATATTCCCATCAGCCTCACTGAGCAGCATTCTTTTAATTGCCTATTATTTCCAGTGCAGGCCAGACATGGAGCCTTAATGTTAGGGCAAACAGGTTTTTTATAACAGGTTGACAACAGGATTTTATTCATATATATTCACATATCTAGAACATATACTATATAAAATACAGTATTTTAACATTCAGACTGAGGGCCTTGTGTATGTGTGTTTGAGTCTGTGAGTAAATGAAATGCTCTAGAGAGAACGTGTCTGTGTATATATGAAAATTCTCATATACTAGAGTACGGAAATGCTTATGTACATTGCTTTTCATTACGCATATTATTGTGATTGATTATTCGTCATTAGGTTACTCTGTTTGGTTTGTGTATGTTTTCACTGTCACGTTGACTTTACATTGTGTCATACATTTGCTTCTGCAACAATGGTCAATACCCATTCATGCAAATAAAGCATATTTGAGTGAGAGTGTGTGTGTGTGTATAATATGTCTCATTGAATGGCTTGCATAGAACAGGCCACAGAGGATGACCAACCTTTCTCTCTCTCTCACACACGCACACAGACACAGACACAGACACACTCGGGTCCATAATCACCACTACTTGTAGCCTAGAAAGAGGGATGTGGGTCAACGGGGGCCACACTGTGCCAGCTATCACAGCCCCATAGCAGCCAAGAACTAATATCACTAATAATAACATCTATGTAAATTTCTGTCATTTTACAACAGATGTTTCTTATATTTTTCAGGTCATAAAGACTCTATTTTTTTCAAAATGGGTTTTTGCCTTCACAGCAGAAACAAGTGTTATAGATATTTTCCTCCAGCATCCTCATCTTTGATGGTGAAAGCTGAATACATTAAGTGCTGGACATGAGGCCCAAAGAGGACTGTAGAGGCTCTGAGAGTCAGACGCCTACTCACTTATTACACTCGGACAAATCCTGTATCCTCCTCTCCTCTCCTCTGTCCTGTCTCCTAAACCTTTTTATTCAGGGACCCGGAGACCTCTCCGGAACAAAACAGCTTTTAGCGCTACCATCTCTCTCTGCTTGTGTTTTCGCAAATAGCTCTCTCTCTCCCTCTCTCTCTCTCTCTCTCTCTCTCTCTCTCTCTCTCTTATTTCTCTAAAAAAAAACTGTCTGTGAAAAGAAATGGAGCTGTTGTAGGAGCTCATCAAGTCATTATCTGATTAATGCCATTTTATAAGCGCTGCTGCTCAAGAGATTGCTTCTTCTCCCGAATAATATTCATTCTTTCAACAATAATGCATGTAAACTTAAATCCAGGAAACCTCCCTTTGGTTACTTTTGTTGATTTTTTTTGCGTTCAGTTCGCTACGAAAATGAGACGAAAGACAAAGAACCATGTAGTAATAATAATAATAATAATAATAATAATAATAATAATAAAAATAGAAAGACAGTTGAATACGTTGATCCAAATTAATACTGAGGAAAAATAGGCCACTGGCCCTTCTGCACTCTGGCATACCATCACCGCGTGTGCGCACTTAATATCACTTAATTGTGGTCAGAATGTGATAAAAAAAAAAAAGTACCTTTATAACACCTCAGGGAGAAATATTGTTTTCACTGCCTCCCTCCTTCTGCTTTTGGGCCCAGCTCTAATAAATATGTCAATAAATTCAGCCATCAGTGCGCAATGCCAGAGCGCATTATCAGTCTTGGGCATCGAGGTGTGTCGCACTCGACCCAAAAGAGGGGGGAAAGTGAGTTTGAAATAAATACACGGGTTGATCCACCTGGAATGGGCCGCGATAAGAGCAGCCAGTGTTAACCGACACGTTTCCTCTACACCTCATCCGAGTCTTCCTTTTCCAAACACGCGTTTCTTTAATGTCCCGGCCTGTTTTTCCAGCCTGTGTGCGCACCGACGGCACCCAGGGGAGCCGAGGCCAAATCAGCCACAGGCCAGTGAGGGGGAGCAGGGGGCCGGGACACCTGCTTTGGAAAAGACACTCCAGACACTAAACTTTGCTGACTTCGTTGCAATTCGTTCGTCCTAAAAAACACTTGCTTGCGACATGGAAAAGAGACTCGCCTTTTCCTTTTTGGCACCTGACAGAGGAGCATATGGAAAATAAGATTTATCGTTAAGTACTTTAGGATCCTGTTTGTGCAGAGGATAAAAAAAGAAGATTCTGTGTGCAACAAATGAATCCAAAGTGAAAAGCAGAGGGAAAAGGGGGCAAAGGCACGCTGATCTGATTAGAATAGTGCATTTACTGGCTTTAAATTAACGGCTATACGAACTTGATTCACCAAAAACAACAACGATAATAATAATGATAATAACACATATTTTATACGTTCGTTTACGGAATGAATTTATAGGTAATTTGCTTATTACAAGTCTGGCGTTGTCTTTAATTGCAGAAAAGGCAAGGCTGAGCCAGATGGATGTGACCTGTTTTATCCAGAAATATCGTTAAGAGTTCATGAAAATATTATCTCCTAAAGATTCATTTCAATTGCGCAAAAAACAATTATTTCCGAAATAACTGACTAAACAATTTGTGCATACACCTGTTGTAAAGGTCGAAGTCTAAAATGCTTTCAGAGCGCAAAAAAAAAAACTGCAGTGTAATTATTCAATTTGTAAGAATGCGGCAGGATCCTCGTTTCATAAATCAGAAGCGTCAAACGGGTTTTTCTGTGGAAAGGATCAGATGTCACTGTCCGCAGGGTTCAGCCTTACAGGTGGGAAGCTTCAAAGGGAGGGGGAAAAAATTCAAACAAATCATTGAAAATGATTAGATTTTCAAACATAAATGTGGATTTTTGTTTTCATTTACCATCGGTTTTTACTTAATAATCGTTTCTGATGACGGTGCAATCTTTGCGCACGGGGGGATATTTCAGTGGCAGCCTGTGGATCCGAGTGACAGACGTTTCATGATGATATTCGGCTCTTAACTGAGCATTTCACAAAGAGACGTTTAGCTCTCCTCGGATATTGGCTTCCCTGGATAATCTGAATTCCAAAGCAAACCTCGGAGCCTCTGTGCTGCTTTGCTTGTTCATAAATCAGATTTTGCTGCAACCAATAAGAAAACTCTGCACGTAAAATATCTACATGCCACTCTGAACCTCCAATACCCAAGTGACCCACTACTGTTATTCCCTTAGAGAAGCTGTAGCCTAAATATGCACCAGTTGTCTTTGCAGGAAAAACAAAATGAATATAGTAATGTTTTAAAATATAAACGTCATTCAGACATAGTAAGAGATCAAATTACAAAGTTGGTAATCATTAAAAAATGACTGGGCTTGAAGGGATATTAATGCGTTTAATACACTCCCATAAACATAATCGAAACATGCATTTACACAGTCGTTGAAAAAAAGTGGTTTGGATTGTAAAACAGACTGTTAATTTAGAATATTACTGCCACAAAGGAAGACTGGAAGGTGTCTGAAAACATTTGTATCTAAACGGTACAAAACTGCCTCAACAATTCATCAGTAATGTTGCATTTATCTCAAAACATGCGTTTGTTTAAATGTAGTCTATCTAATAAAACTACAGCAGGGATAGATAACCCCACCGGTTGTCAAACAAATCAAGTTCTTTTATGATTCTTTTTCTTAGCAGCTATTATCGTGAAATTGTTCTTATTCTGATTTTGACACTTTATTCGAAATGTAATCAAGACACATTAACACTTATTATAGAAACTTTTCCATTTAAGACTTGAACATGAGTATAAACAACATAATAAGATGTAGACTATGTGTTTCATTGCGGCTTATAGGCCTATGTAATGTCAAAGTGCGTAACAATTCTTACTCGCGCTGTCGGTGATTTGGGAAGAAAGAGATTAGTAAGAGTGGTATTTCCTTTTTTTCCCTCTCTCTCTCTCTTTAGTTGCATGCTCAAGTCCCATTCTCTGGTCAAGTTCAGTGCGTTGTTCTCCGGACCGGACGGACGCTTCTTATTGGTAGGTTGCGACAGTTACATCACGCCGCTCATGACGCGCACGTCTTCCTGTTTCCTTCAGCCGCGTCTTAAAGTGAATCTTTAGTGGCGGAGGAGCGCTCCAGCATCCAGTCCTCTGCATCCAGTGCGCCTCGGAGACGCACACACGCAGTCTCTCTCTCTCTCTCTCTTGCACTCTCTCTATGTCTCTCACTCTTTTAGTCACAGCAGAGGATAGAGGGAGAGACCGACGCGCAAGAGCTCTTTTCATCTACTATATTTTTCCTATTTTGTTCCTTTCGCTCGCGTCGCCGACTTTATTCCAGCTCTTTCTTCTCTGAGAAATTGTTATATCCCAGCATCCAGCGAATCCGCCGTGCTCTGCGTATATTCTCTCTTTTTTTTGCCGTAGGAGTTCAGGTTGTCCCCCTCTTCATCTAAAGGGTAAGTAACCTTGTCCTCGGATACCTCCCTCTCTCCCGTTCTTGTTCTGCCTCGCCTGCGCACGGTGGGCGGAAAAAATAAACAAATCAAACATCATTAACGGGGGAAATTTATTCTGCTGATCAACAGCTAATCATATCTATTGGACATTATTTGCTCTGTTTCGTTCCCCTCATCTTGGTGTGTGGTAAGAGTTGCGTGAGCAGCCCGTGTTTTTTTTTTTGCGAGGATGATTTGCGGACGGTAGCCCAACCTTCCTCATCAAAGCGGTGATCAAGTTGATTTGCAACTTTGCGAAGTAAGTTTTGGAAGCGTGTTTTTTGTCTGTTTGTTTTTTGTTTTTTTGCATCGTGGGACGTGATGTAAATGTTGATTTTTAGACGGAAACTGAGATTTACCTGTGTTAGATCTCTTCGTTTGAAAACGGTGAATTTGCTTTTACCTCCTATTGTCTTTGTCCTGTGGGCTTATTTTAACACCTCATACGTGCCCTTTTTTTTATTGGCACAAATCCGGGCAGTCGCGTAGCTTGTCAGTTCTGCTGTTTAGTGAATTTGGTGTCTGTCTTCTGCGGCAGCACTTTTGGACTATTGTGTGAAAATGCTGCCGGTGTATTGATGAAGTTTCGGCAACTGTGTCTCGCATAGGTTTTGATATCTTAGTCTGTTCACTGACCATCAAATGTGCAACAACAACAAAAAAACAGCCAGGTCTCACTTTCACCATCTTATAGCGATTGTTATTGGACTTTAACTCCTAAAAGTTAGACCAACTGTTAATTAACTGTTAACTGTTAATTTAGACCAAGTTTCCAACCCGAACATCACTCATTATTTTGTACTTTTGTTCCAGGTCAGCTGAAAGGTTTTGTTTTGGTGGTTAAACCCTATTAAACTATATAGCTACATGTTCCAGTGAGGAGGTTAAAACCACGGGGTGAAGATCTATAAAAGTTGGAGTGAACATTCGCAGCTTGTTGTTAATATGTGTAGTTCATAGCTTGAAATTGTTGAAAGGTTTTTTTTATGAGAGAGAGAGAGAGAGTGCGCATGGGCAATGGGAGACAGGTGCGCCGTCGGAAAAGACAGGTGCTGGTGACTATTTCAAGCTCATTGTTAAGATCCTGAGGCGATCAAGTCCAGTTTTTTTTTCTTGGAGATGTATCACCTCTTGTCTGAACTGCTGGAGATTACTGTCAAGAGTTGGGCCAAAGCCATTTATCAAAGGGTTGTATTTTAGAATACTGGTGTTACTTCAATAGGACGGTTTTAGGGGGAACATTCACCTGTTATTCCAGCAAATTTGGATGTTTGCAGTTTTATCTTGTGAGTTTATACATTGTCAATTTACAAAATGTTTTTTTAAGAGTGAAAAACCTCCTAATTCACGTCACTTGTGCTGCGCATCAGACAACACAGTGACTAACAAAGCCAACAACAAAGTTGTGTGTGCGCGCCGGTGTGTGTGTGTGTGTGTGTCTGTGAAGTGACGAGAGAGAAGCTTTTCTTTTCAAAAGAAAAATACTTTTGACATGCTGTGATAATGTAAAGATGATTCAATTTCTTTTAGTTAAAGCAAGCAAATACTCAGTTAAAGAAAATGTTTTTAAATCTGACATGGAGTTCAGTTATTTACCAGCTGTTCACCACCACTTACCACTGAAACTGAGCCTTCAAATTAAATGTCTCTGAGTGTCTTTTGTCTTAGAATATTATAGCAAAATTAAACATAGCCTAGATCTGACTAAGTCTTTTGACATTTTTGTATTTAAGATTAAAGAATGTTGCAGATTTACCCTAAAGTCTACCTAAATCAGTTCGAGTATATTTACAACCTGAAAATTCAACTCAAGGAAAGAATATTCTATTTGTTATATTTTATTATATTTTATGAGCCACTGTGAGTCTCAATAAAGGCTGGTGTAAAAAGAAAAATGTAAATTGTTGCATCACTTTTGCCACTTTTATGCTGCAAAGAAAACATCAAATGTATAAATTTACTAACGTCAGATATATTAAAAAATTTAGAAAAAAGAGAGGCATACAAATTAATTTGTCTGTGATAATATAACTACATTTGAGATTGGATGTATCTGATATTGCTCTAAGACACTGCCACCGCTGCTTACATAGCATTATTGATGCAGGCCTGTACTGACAAAACGTTTTGCTTTCAGAGGGGCATTAGGGTTTTTGTAAGAGCGCTTTAAGTTGCTCCTTGCCAGAGTTGACCCTGGTGACCTATTCATTTGAGCAGAATTAACTACCCTTGCCAGATGAAAAGACAAACAAAAAACACAGAAGTGAGCTCACGCTGGCACCAAAATCAATAGGCCTATTTTGTGCTCTTTTTGTGTCACTCTCCCCTTTGCTTAAGATATGATGACCATATTGATTAAAGTGGACACAGGACTTGCATTTTAAAATTACGCAATGTGTAAACTCGGTTTAAAGTGAGAATATTTTGTTGAAACGACCAAACGATAGGTCACTTACTAAATAGAATTCAGTAAAGTATATATTAAGACATGTGTATTGCCTCCCCTTATACACCACATTTTTTTACTCTTAACCCTATTTCTTTTTATTTTATTTTGTGAGTTAATAGCTCCTATGTTGGCTCACGCTGCACAAAAATGCAAATGAGGACAAGTACTTAAGTAATTATCATAATTTTATGCAGCTTTGTGTTCCGTGGGAACTGGTTCAGTGTCGCGCAGCGTGTAACAAGGGACAGGATAAAATGTAGGACTTTGCCCTGGAATGTCGAGCCAAGGCCTAATTCTGACCCCATCTTGCCTGATTCTTTTACCCCTCTGTCACTGATCCTCGCCTTCTAAATGTAACCATGGATGTCCCTGTCCTTGTCGAAACATATTAGGAGGAACTGCCTACTGGCTTGAGACAAAACGCTTCTGTTCATATCCATAATGTTGATAGATTTTGATTGATCAAAATCTTTCTGGCTTTTCTGTTTAATGTAGATTTTGTTTTGAAATTGAAGTGTTCTAGGACATGTCCTGCTGAGTGAGTGACTTAGATTCTGAAAATATTTTTCACTTTGGTGAGTCATGTATTGTGAATTTTTTTCCGCAGGTACTCAGAGGCTTTGATCCTAGAGGACTGGGTTTGTGGGATATGGCCCAATAGCAGCAGCCCGTGATGCCGGACCATGACAGCGACTCCCTCCTGAACAGACAGACCAAGCGAAGACGTGTGGACATTGGTGTTAAGAGGACCGTGGGCAGCACAGCCTCCTCCACAGCAGCAGCCACAACAGCAACCACTGATAACATTGCCCGCGCCAAAGCAGCCATTTTCAGTGCCATGAACTCTCTGAGCTCCCACTCTCACCACGGATCAGACACCGACTCCATGGAGTGCTCTGTAGTGCAGCCACATGGTGGGCCTGGCGTTGTATCAGCCAGTGACAGTGAGTCCAAGTCCAATGTACTCCGAAAGCTACTGAAGAGGGCCAACTCATACGAGGACACCATGATGCCCTTCCCTGGCACCACTATTATCTCCCAGCTTCTTAAGAATAACATGGCTAAAAATGGAGGAGGACCCGAGAGGGGAGAAAGAGGGGACAGGGGTGATAGAGGGGATGCCGGCTTCCCTGGATCAGGGCTCTCCAATGCAAGTTCAGATGCTCCCCAGGAAGATGCCTGCAGTAACTCCTCCCAGGACAGCACCCCTCAAGAGTGCTTGTCACCGTTTGGTCGTCCTCCTGGCCTGGCCACCTTTGACATCGAACGTCTCAATGATGAACACCTGCGTGCCAAGCGAGCCCGTGTAGAGAACATTATACGTGGTATGAGCCACTCACCCAGTGTGGTGGTACCTGCTGCTTCTCGCCATGAACGTGACCATGAGATGGATGGAGAAAGGGAGATGGAACTAGACTGCCCACCCCCTCAGTCTCAGCAGCAGGCCCCCAGCAGCCCACGGGGAGGCGAGGTGTGCAGCAGTAGCAGCCGAGAGAACAAGCGTAAGCAGCGTCTGCCTCAACAGCAACAGCAGAGCTTTACCCAGCTGGTGTGCCAGAGGAAAGAACAGAAGCAGGAGGAGCGACGGCAACTGAAGCTACAGCTGGAGGACATGCAGAAACAGTTACGCCAGCTGCAGGAAAAGTTCTTTCAGATCTATGACTCAACCGATGACTCAGAACACAATGACCTCCACAATGAACTCCACAATGACATAGGAAACATGTCTGAGGACAGCCCAACTAGGTCTGATACCGGTGGCGATGACCGGGGTGGAGATGATCTGCGCTCTGACAACGAGATGTCTGACCTGGACCCGGGCCATTTCCTGGACAGGGCACGGGCATTGCTTCAGGAGCAGGCCCTACTGGCAGATGGAGAGAAGCCAAGAAGAGAGGGGCTTGGGCGCAGCAAAGCACAGGGAGGTCCAGGCTCCTCCATGCATGCTGAAGGTAAACAGCTGGCTGAAACACTGAAGCAGGAACTCAATTCAGCCATGACCCAAGTGGTGGACACAGTGGTTAAGGTGTTTGCCAAGCCTCCACGTCCTACACCCCAGCAGGCCTTCCCCCCACTTTCCATACCTCCTGAAAGGTTTCCCACTGTTGTCAATGGAGACAACCCCAACTTCCACACCGCCAATCAGAGGCTGCAGTGCTTCGGTGATGTCATCATTCCCAATCCACTAGACTCCTTTGCCAGCATGCCCGGGATGCCAGGTGCCACCAATGACCAAACCGAGGCGCTGCCCTTAGTCGTGAGGAAGACACCCAGTGAGCACCACCACCAGTCCTCAGCTGTGGGTGCCCATGGCGGGCACCACCACCCCGCCCTTCACCCCTCCTCACTCTCTGCCTCCATGGGCTTCAGCCCACCATCCTTTAGACACCCCTTTCCACTGCCTCTTATGAGCTACGCTTTCCAGAGTCCCCTTGGTGGGCCCACAGGTGGCTACCCAGGAAAGGACCGTTCCTCACCAGACTCCATGGACCTGTCCCGGGAAACCACCAGCCTGAGGACCAAGATGGCATCAGGTCACCACCTGGGGCACCACCATCGCTCTTGTTCCCCTGCGCACCCTGGCAGCACAGCCGAGGGACTCTCCCTGTCCCTCATCAAGTCTGAGTGCGGTGATCTTCAGGACATGGCTGACATCTCACCCTACTCAGGCAGCAATGTATCCTTTAACAAAATCTGAGTGGTGTGTGTGTGAGAGTGTGTTTTGAGGGGGTTGAAAGGCAATAATAAGTGAATGTGTATGACAGTGACCCTGATGTTTTAACTCTACGTGGTCCATTTAAGACCAGATCATGCCTGTGTAAAGCAGGAAAAATCTGATTTCAGGTGGTAATTCCTTGTAGAGACAGGTACGAAACACTGCAACTGAACCACAAAGAGTTAAAAATCAAATCTTTTTTAGTGTGTTTGAAACTAGCCTAAGAATCAGAGAAATTGTTGATGAATCACTTTTCCTCCCACTGCTGTTCTCTTCTCCATTGTACTGCACTGTTGCATTTATTTTTATACTCATACCTCTTCCTTCTCAAAGCACCGTACAGCCTTTTCTTCCATCTTCAATCCTAAGTGCTTTAAAAGCTTTCTTGTCACATATCACTTACTCACAAAGATTAGGTCCCCATGACATTTACTGCCCTAATTCCTTTTATAAAAAAATGGCCTGAAAGAACAAGGAGCAAGATAGCATCCCGAAACTTGGCACACAATGGTGTTATATAGCCTCCCTTATAGTTTAACCCCAGTGTGCCCCAATCATGCCCTACGGATAAAGAGGCTATCCCCTATGGGAGGCTCAAATTGAACCCCCTGGGGACTCAGGACTAATAGCTTAAACAGATACATTCAGTCCCTTCTCTGTTTCCCCTATACCTCCTTAGTCCCTAAGTATTCAACACCCCTTAACCCTTATGAAAGTTTGATTCGTGTCACACTGGTTGTCCATAGAAAGCATTGTCCTCAAGTCATTAACATTCATTACATGCTTAAGAAATTAATCCAACAGCTTTTTACCTGTTGGAGCTTTATTAGTTAAGTGAATATGTATATTTAACACCTTGGATGTCTTGTTTTTGCTCCTGTGTGTACCTGAGTGCCTAGCCTTTTTCCAGTGTGTGTCTTTTTGTGTGTGTGCATGTCACAAAAGGTTCGCCTGAGGACTCAGTAAAGATGTATATTTATGATTGCTTGTGTTTTCTCTTGTGTTCCTCTTATCATCCATCGCCGTTGTAAAAAGCCCACAATCATTGTCGTTTCTTTTCTCTTTTTTTCATTTCATAAAGATCTGTCAACAGCCCGGGGGGCCCTTCGGCTGTTGCTTGGCAGCCAAATACTTCTTTTTTTGTTTTCCCTCCCTGCAAACCCCCCTCCTCCCTGTCTTTTCTTTGAAGCGGACGTTAACAGGTGTTTGCAGCGAGCTGTTTATCTTTCATTACCTCGCCTTGTCTTGTCTTCTGACCCAAGGGTGAACGCTTTCCAGAGATCCATAATCCTTTGCTTCTACAGGCTCCCGATGGAGGGATGAAAAGAGAAAAGGGAGAGAGAGAAATACAGAGACTGAGAGAAAGTAGAAAACAATCAAACAATAACCACATATGCCAGATGCTGTGGCTTTCATTGTAGCATTTATAAATTCAGGGCATTAACAGATGTACTCCCCTAAATGAAAAGAAAAGGCAGAACAACATGTCCACATGTGTTGTTTTATTTTTGATTCCCTGAGCTTATTCCACAGGTTTAGTAACAAAGTTTGGCATTTACAAGATATAGTTTTTTATTATAATTTGTATGACATTTATAAAATTCGTTTATTTGCATTTGTACTCATATTGCTGGTGCCACTGATGTAGAATTCTTTGATATCTCTGTAGCTTTCTCTTTTTTTCGGAGCCTCAGAAGCCAGAGACAGCTTGTCAGACATTTTGCGAGGTGTGTTCAAGTTCACCAGCTCTCTGCAGCGTTATGGAGCAGATGGCTGCTATCAATTTCCTCATTTGTTCTCAGTCCGACTCCAAATATTCTTGTCCTTACACCTGGAATTAGGAAGTGGAGCAGCTATTTTCCTCTCATGACTTTGGGCTTTGGGGAAGTGTTGTGAGAATGATGATGTCTTGTCAGATGTGGCAGGCGAACAGTGGGCCAGCTGGTATGAGTGCACCATCATGACAAAATAATAGCCTTGCACGCCACCCCTAAGTCCAATCACAATTACATTTGCAAGCTGTGAGTGAATTGGAGATGAAAATGCCTCATCAGGAGATATGAAGCTTCTTAATTGTCGTCTGAAGGGAGGTGATATTGTGTTTATGGCTGGAGAGGTAAAACCTCAACGTCTTTGTTTTAAAATAATTTTTAATTTCAGTGATAAGGGGAAAGCGATGCTAATCCTAATTGAAAAAGCAAAAACAAATTAATCTAAGTGTAAGTGCACAGCTTTCACAGCAAATAAATCCCACCTTTCCTTACTGAAAAAGAGCTCTCTTTTTCTCTGTCTCTCCCTCTCCCTCTCTCTGTCTGAGGATCCATTGTATCCCCTCCACTTGGAGCAGATGGTGTGGTGTGGAGAGTGAAGTGCTGCTCTTTTGGCCAGGCCTGACAGAGTAACACCAGTCTGCCAGGGTTTCCCCCACAAGACCCTCGCTGCGTATACAACTAACTCTCTCTCTCTCTCTCCCTCTCTCTCACTGAATCAGACAAAGTAGACAGGGTCTTTAAGGAGCCAACCCAGTGTGGTTCAGCATTTGCTGGCTTTGCTGTGTAACCCTGAGGCCAAGGGCAATCCAATCTAGCAGCTGATGCCTTCTTCCCACTCTATAGTTACAGCTACATCTGGACACTTGACTGATTTTAACGATCACAGCCACCCCTGTAGATCATAAATAATGTCAAGCAATGTATTTTGTCCACTCGAGTGTAAACAGTCTTCATGAAAACTTGTATCTTCTGTGTAATTTAAAGCCCTATCTTGCGTCTGCTTGATGAAAACCCTTGTTGAAACGGCCCAAGGTTTTAACATGCAGCCCGCCCCCATCCCCGTTCTCTTTTCAATGTCTTATCCTCCAGATTGATATTATCAGATGCATTATACGGCCGTTAATTCACCATGGAAATGGCTTGGGCCGTTCGGTGGCGCAGATGTGTTTCAGTCCCCCCATCACTGGCTGTGTCCAAACCCTCAGAGCCCCTCTTCCTCCTTCTCCTCCTCC